TTGTATATAAAATCCCCACTGATGCAGCCTCACATGAGGTGTTTTTTGTATATTTTGTACTTAAAAGCAAAGTGATGATTTAATGCCCACAAAATTATAGTCGGTTGAATGTTGCTATCAAGGGGAATAAAATTCTAATCAAAAGGGAGCTTTTAGAAAGAATTCAGAAATACAGTGCTCGTCAGCTGTTTTGTAATGTGTTAAAGCACAGTTTGACGTGTGCTGCTGGTTAACCATGCACTTTCAATTACTGCACACCCCCGTCTTTGAGCCAGAAAAATTATGGAATGGTTTCTCGCGGAGGGGTGCTTTCTGTTGCTGTTCAATAAAGGAAATGGATTCATTTGTGCTAAACAAAGGAAAAAAGCAGGAATGGTGGCAATACTGCTGCAGGGGGGTAAAATGTAGTTCAACGGCAGTGCATAGATTGAAAAACGTGTGGTTTTGGTGAGATGCCTCCATATTCTTCTGCTTCCCTCTGCTGGAGTGCGGCAGGATTCCTGCCCGTCTCCCGGCCAGGCTTTGGAGCAAATCCAAACCCCTTTTGGCAGAGCCAGAGCTGTCTGTCTGCGCAAGCCACTTCTGCAAACTCATTTATTTATTTTTTAAAGGTTTCTGCTCCGTTTTCAGTTTTCTTTCAGTAGGTCCACACAGTGCAGGTCTGTGTACAACACAGATCTCCTGGTCAGTGCGATTCTATGGCTGCCTGTCTCTGTATAAGCATGTCTCAGCTTTGAGACTAATGAATAATATTTTGATTTTTTTCAGAGCTGTACGGGGTGTAGATGCCCAGTTGCCAGTCATCTTTATAGGGATGCTGCACCCATATATGTCATTAGAGGCTCTGAAACTCCAGTCTGTTGTACTGCGGTCAAATTGCAGAGCACTGGCTGGATTTCTGCCAATTTGAAGGTTTTTCAAAGACAAATATTTAAATGTCTATGATATCGATTGCCCCGAGTTTCCTTTCCCATTTAATTATATTATATTGCATTCAGTTGTACTTATAAAAATGGGGGGATTGTCTTAGTAATAGCAGAGAATTCACTTTTTAGCATGAAAATAACATGAATTTTAATAGAGCATGTCATTCATCACTGCTTAACAAGTGCTTTCCCATTGCTTTCCCATTGCCACTTTCCCCCTTCATAATTTTGATGGATTTTGGAAACAGAAGTGGGTTTTCCCTTTAGAGTTTCACAATTAATCTATGCCAAGTTTAGTGCAAAGTTCAATTCTCTTGCAAATAGCAGCCATTATTTGGCAGTTCATCTGTCATCTCCTGGCTTGGCTCCCTGTGTTTACTATGAAATATGACTGCCAGCTATGGATTGGTAATTATTGAAAGTTTATGTTGATTAAAAGGGGATATTTGAAGAAAATTTACAGGAGCTTACCTCTAACTCAGTAGTTTACCTCTAGCTGAAAAACAGGAAAGACGATGCTATTTTCTCAATAATGCGTGTAAGTCACTTAATGCATATTTAACATTGGGAAGTATTAAACTGTATTTACAACTAATAAGTGTTAATTGCTGTTAATAATACAAGTAATTAGGGCTGGCAATGTGATAATTACTACTAATTTAGTTACTTATAATTAAAGCGTAAACTGTAAGTTCAAGGGTAGTCCTAAGTGTATGAGAAGCCCGTGTTAATATAGGGAATAAGATAAAAAGGTTTTATCACCGATGATGGGTGTATAGAGATCTCTTAGCTTTCTCTGTATGTTCTCAGACTTGTTTTCAAAATAATACCATCTTGTATACTTCAATTTACCAAAAATTTAAAAATGCATAGGATTGAAACAGAAAAAAGGATTAAATACTGATGAGAAGTGCACTCTCTTGTTTGTTAGCTTTTAAATATTTTTGAGGTTCTTCTATTTACTTCTATTAAAGTGATTTTAAAAGAAAGATTTCCTACATGCAGAGTTTCCATTTCATCAGTGGTTTTGATACTGTTTTCCTTTGTCCTCTTTTTTTATGCTGTGCCTTGAAGAAGTGACTTTGTGTGTGCATATAGAATAATAACTAATAACAGTCAGAACATGCTTGCTGCTCTTTAAAAAAAATTAATTCCTATTGAATTGTTCATTTTAAACTTACAGTAGGCATTTTCACACAGTGATAGAAAACTAATATTTATTATAGAAAGCAAAAGATGATTCAAATTATATACATTGACTCATGCAGGGCCAACTTCAAAGTGTGATCCAACTTGATTTATTTGTTCCTGTGCTTTGTTTTATTTCATTGTTTTATAAGAACGCCTTTGCTGGTATTTTGTTGTTACGTGCAGTTAGGCGCAGGAGTACATGAGCCTTTGCTCATGTAGTGCCGCTTTGTAGCGAGCGTAGTAAAGTTGTCCTTACATGTCACAACATTTTTAAACCACACACACCCCCCTGCTTAACTTAATTACCGTGTATATTCCATTGATTGGAATGGAATTGTTTGGTAGTGATCGTTATATAATTTCAGTATAATATACAGGTTCAACGTATTTAGTAGACATTCACTACAATAATTTCCCATAGTTCCTTCCCCTCTATATCATTACTTTATACTCGTAAATACCACTTATGTCAGATGTTAAACACAACTTTTAAAATCTGTTTGTTCAGTGTCATTCTTAGAAGCTGCGGGTTTTGTCCTTCTCAGCAACAGATGTGCTTACCAAAGTAATGTTTAGGTGTATATATTTATAAGGCAACAAGTCGCCTTATGTCTTCTAAACAAAACAATTTAAGGAAGAACTAGCTTTGAAAATGTGTTTTAAATTGTTTGGAAGGCATATAGTCAGAGTCGATCCATCAGATAAACCTTTAATAAAGCAATGTTCCCGTGACCCCGCACCACAAGACCCATTGGCTATATCTTTAATAAATAATGAAACAGATGTTCTGGAGCATTGAATGTCATTCCATTTAGGTTAACTGTGTTTACAAAATAAATATGGTTGTAAGCAGTTTGCATTTCATCTCTCAGGCGGTATAACAAACAGAACTATTGAAACGGTCTCAATTTGAGTTCTTAATGTAAAGTCTTTATTCGTTATCCTGGATACTATATAATTTCTATCCATACTGGGTATGGATTCGTGATAAAACTTAGAATCAGTACCAAAAAAACCTCACACAAAGAATGCTTACCAAACCAAAAAATACCTTCACAGATTTTGAAGGCAAGATTTTGCCTTCTCATAGTCATATTTTTACGAAAATTACAGTTAGGAGTTCCCAAATTTCTTCAGTTTCTTGGGAAAACACTTACACTAGAGGAATCTTTTACTTTTGAAGAAAGAGTTAGCAGGTTTTCCATTTTGTATAACATGCTGTGCTTTGCTTTTGATTTTTTGGAAAGCTTTTATTGGCAGATGCAAGTTGAAAAGTTAGTTTATTTTTTACGGCGGGGGGGTGGTTTTGTGTTTTTTTT